CACTAGTTATAATTGACAACCATGCATACTACCATTTACTCTGGCACAGAGTGGATAGTTGGTGTATCAAAGAGTGGACCATTGACTGGAAATCACAAAGAATGTGAATTTCAGTTGATCATGGTTCACAGTGAATGTAAAAATCTTTACTAGGAGAACTTTTCATATCACATGGCATCGTTAAAGGGGAAGTCAAAACAAACAACATAATGCTCCCAGATGAAAGAGCTCCACAAATGTAGGAGAATGCATTTTACAGTTTTTTATATCGCTTTTCATTCTCTAGACACTCAACTTTTCATCAGTATTATTTAGCCCTCCATCTTGATTCTCCAGCACAATATTATGGGTAAAGTGTTACATCAAATTCACTGTTGAGAAAAATTGAGATAATGATGTCATCTATAACGCTAGAAATACTGATGTGAATTAGTTCAAATTTTTGTTGTGCATATTACTCATTCATTTAATTAAAATAATGGAAATTAGGATGTTACAAATACACAAAAAGTGAAGATATTGCCAAAAATGAAAAATTAACAAAAAATCATTATTTTGGTTGTTAAAAATAGAATTTGTGTCCCCTTTTTGTGGTCAACAGGTCATATATCACCTGTATAACCTACTTGCATCGATAAATTGTATAAAATATACGAAAAATTTAGCATTTGGTAGTAAAACACAAAAATGAATATTTTTCAGTTCTGTTGTCATGACAACTATTTTATATGCATGTTCAGCATTGGGACATGTATGCTACCATTTTCTAAACCAATTTGAAGTTGAACTTTTGAAGTTATTGATAAAATCAAATTTCTCACAACAGTGGATATGATGTCATGCTTTACCTATAATCCCATGCTGAAGAATCAAGATGGCTGACTACATAATAATGATGAATGAAAAGTTGTATATCTAGAGAATGAAAAGTGATATATAAACAAATTGTAAATTGCATTTTCTTACATTTGTGGAGCTCTTTCATCCTTGACTTTTCTATTACATTGATGTTAGTTTATTGCATGATTGTTAACTTTTATCACAAAAATGGAGATCAATTTGAATAGACAATTGCTTGAATTGTCATTGATATGGTATGATTTAAAAAAATCATTTTTAACTACTATATTTTTCTTAAGGAACATTTAAGATAAGACAGACACATGTAATATACAGTAATATGTAAGGTGATGTTGCTATGATCTCTCTGAATTATCAGAGACAAACATATTTTTTAACTATAAATAAGGATGGCATATTTCATTTCTTCCAAGCAAACATACATAAATTGCCAAGCTGTACATTTTTAATGTGGTGAAAGGGACAAAAGAACACTGAAAGAAATAATGTTGTGATGAAACGACATTGGGAAAAAACAGGTTGGGAAAAGAATATCCAATGTACCCCTAACCCCTTTCTCTAGCCTGAAACCTAACCCTCCAGCCCCCCCAATTCTGTTGTATTTGCCCCTCTAGATAATTATATGTGTTCTCAGGTAGAGCATATACAATTAATTTGAGGAAGCAATAGAGGGTAGGGTCGAGTTAGAGTTGGGACTAGAGGTGGGGTACATGTACATTGGAAAGTCTTTTCTAGGTTGGGGATGAAACGACACTACATGTATCTGTACAAACAGTCTTGAACTCAGGGCAACAAAATATGGCTTATACCTCAATGGAAAGGAAATATCTGTGCGTACATGGCAGTTTTAGCGGTGAAATTTACATTTAGACTTGGTGGCGCCCAAACAGGGAAACACTGAATAAAGTGTACCGGTAGTTACATAATTGACACTTCAATGTACATTGATATATAAAATTAGTCCCAAAATAAGACACTTTGAATAACCTGTTCCATGTTTCTTTTTTAAAAAATTCCTGGATATTCACAGAACTACAAGGCAAGGTCCCAATGAAACGAGCACCATCATAACCACAGACATGTACACAGAGCTAATAATCACATTATTAAGCTTCTGTGGTCAGACAAATGCTTTTCATAGACTGTAGAAAAATCCTTTATACAGGCACAGTCCCTCTATCATATGATATGATAGAGGGACTGTGATACAGGCAATGCTAGAACTAGTGCCCGATAGGAGCAATGCATATGGATGACAGAACTGAGCCTTTTCTTATGATTGAATAAATGCATGCATGTAGTGCACACAAATATTAATGAAGTGTGTGACTGCCTAGCTGCAGTTCTGTAGCTCGCTTGGTTT